TTCTGGACAGCCAGAAACAGTGCTTCACTACCTTTATAGTAAAAAACTTCTTCCTTATAGCCAGTCTGAAGATTACTGGAAAATCATAAATTCTCACTAATAGATCAGTGTTAGATGAGTTCAGTGGTAGCGACTTTCAGACCCCATGATAAACAAAAGATGGAACAGAAGGAAGATGAGCACATCATTTGTATTGCTGATTTAAGCTGCCACAAGAAACACATGCTTATTTGACAGTGATAGTGGTAATTATGATTTGTAATACTTGCAATATCCCAATTCACAACATTCTTGAAGCTGAGCTTCTGACAGTGTTTGTCACAGGAGACTTTTTTTGGGATGTTTACTAAGGTAGAGTTTTCTTTTATTTGAAAATTGATCTTTTCTAAACAATGCCCTGTGTATCAACTTTCCAGTGCCATCGGGCTCTATACTCAATGAGCGTGAAACCTCCTGTTAACAAAGTTATCTGTCTTTCTACTCATAGAGACAGCAGGCCATCCCTAGTGTTATAAGTTGAATTCACATCAAAGCTTTCTTCTCCCTAACCTAATTTGAGGATGTCAGAAAAACAAGCCTTTTAAGAAAAGGAGAAATTCCCTATGCAATTGCTTGCACTCCCGCTCAAACACAGAGGATTCTCTGACCCTCTGTACTTCTGAGGATTTTTGTTGGAATCTATGCCTTGGTGCAGAATTTTCTGTATTGCTGGTATTCTTGGCTCAATGAAGAATTTTTTAAATGGGAAATTCTCAGGCTAAATAGAAGGGAGTCTGTGCTGAATTTGCAGGCTCTAAAATACACAACTTTCTGTGAGGAGATCCAGAAATGAAGGATCTGGGGTTTATTAGCTAAATTTTGATCTGGGGTAGAGGAACAGGAAGGAAAAATGGGAGATGGCACTAAGCTCCTACTATGCCTCATGTCTTTGCAGATCACTGATGCTGACAGAACAGCTTTAGGAATGCTTTAAATCATCCTTTAACTACAGCATCATAAATGATCTTCAGGGTCAGAGGGTAGGGGAGTTTGATGTTGTAAGTTGTGATGACACTTTCACTCCCAAGAAAAGAAAACAAGGAAAAGCTTATTCTAACTTTCTTTGGTGAAAATTATACTATAATTTTGATGCATTTTGGGATGAAAGTTTTTTCTGACTGACTTCGTAAGTTAATGTCAGTAGATGTCATAAAGTCAGCTACAAGTTGGGTCCTCAGTTTAGGAACTGGAACAGGTAAGAAATTCAGAATGTGCTTTTGAGACGCTGTGAAAACTATTTAACAGGAAGTTTCGCTACATACTGTTAGATTTAATTAAATGACAAGTTAAGCTTTCATTGAGATAGACTTACAAAATTGCTATTTCTTTAAGTGTTTGTTTTGTTTTTTTCTTTTTAATGCGTGTGTTCACTGTCTCTGATGTTCTGAAAGAAAAAGTTGTAGAAGTGTGCTCCTCCTCTGGGTTGTAGCAAAATAGAGTAGGTTATTCAATACCCATCTAATTCCAAGTTTTTTTGTTTTTTGTTTTTTTCTAAAACATAAAAAGACCACTGAAACAGCTTGTTTTTCACAATTCCAAGGCAAGCTAACACCGTGACTGTAGTTTATGGTATAACATCATAGAAGCTGCAGATTTCCTGAATTAGTCAAAACAAGAGGATTCCTTTTTTCCTAGGATGCTGGTAACTGAAAGTAGAAAGGCAGCTTTGATCTCCTATTTATCTCAAGATTTGTCCTTCTGAAATTGTGGAAGCCTCTCAAGTTCAACTAAGCAGGATTTCTATCTATTGTTTTGGGGCATCTGGAACTAGTGGGGAATACAGTGCTTTCCCAGCTTCACATTTTATTTTTCCATTGCACCCTGAAGCTACACAGTGCACTGCCAAGAGAAAACTAATTCAGCAGTATAAATTAAAAATAGGATTCTCGTGACACAAAATGCATAAATGTTTTACTTGTATAATGATTTTGCAGCAGTGATGCCTCCATTATGAATTCTTCCCAACTTGTGAGATGCATCTCATATTGCCAACATGCACAGGTAGAGAGAAATAAAATGGTAAAAACTCACATTGAGAAATTAATGAGTGATGCTTTAGGGAAGAGTGCTGGCAACATTTCTTTGTTATACCCAGTTATCCTTGAACTATTTTTCTTTAGAAAAAAACCCTAAGTAAATGTTTCAAGTATGACTTAAAGACTGTAACAATCAGGGCCACATTAAGACTATAATTTTAAGAAGTTTCACATCATTCTTGTGCAAGTCATAACCATGTTCTCAGTAATGCCTCACTATTAGAAATGCAGCTAAAACCAAGTACTTTAAATAAATAATACTGTAAATAAAACTCTGAACTAAATATTATGATTTTCTTATTATTTAGTTGGGGGTGAAATATCTTTAACAGAAGCTTTATCACCCTCAGGATGCCACAGACAAAGCTACCAAGAGCCTCCAGTTCCCACCTCTAGCTGTCCAGAGAGCACTAGGACAGAACAATCCAGGATTCAGAACATTGTGAACAGATGGCAGCAACCTACCCTCAGATAAGGCCCAGCAGTTACACTCCAGCAGTTATTACCACAATTTAATAACATTTTTACATTAGTAAAAATTCATTATCAGAAAGACCAGCAGTAAGAACACCAACTTTTGGACGCCCCGTCCCTAGAGGTGCTCAAGGCTAGAGTGGATGGGGCCCTGGGCAGCCTGGTCTAATATTAAATGAGGAGGTTAGTGGCCCTGCCCGTGGCACGGTGGGTTGGAGATTCATGATCCTTGAGGTCTCTTCCAACCCTGGCCATTCTGTGATACTGTAAGAGATAGTACACCTAGGGAGAAAAGGAACACCAAACCAAGACTGCAAACCATAATTTTAATGAAGATAACAACTAAAATCACCCAAGCATGTTTCTTTATCACAATTGACTTTACATGAAGCACATTTAAAGGTGTGACATTAGTGAAGAACAGATGCAGACCTGGGGTATGCATTTACCAGCAGGTAATCAGATGATCTAGCAATCCACTCAGCCTCATAAGGCCTGAATAGCAGCACAGTCTTTCCTCACCTGCACTCTGCTCTCAGCTGTGTGCAAGATTCTGCCTAAGCAGAAGTAACTGCTGAACCAAGGGTCTTAGTGGCCTTCAAATTAGCTTCAAAAATAAATAAAGCAGGGCCTATCAGCCACTTAAGCTTTTTTTTCAGCTCCATTTATTTAAAGTATCCTTTCAGATAGCTATTATCACCCCTGAAATAGATTTACCCAGCAATTAGCTGTAGCTTGACAAATCATTTGGGTCCAATTTGCATTTATTTCTCCCACAGAACAAAACAACAAGGGACTAAGTTCCACGTTCCTTTAGTTTGTTCCGTGAATACTGTTGTTTCTATCCCAGTAGAGCTTGAATAAGAAAATGATTATTCATAACAAAGGACCTTAAGATAGACTGGATTTGGTAAGTGATCTAGTCTGTTAAAAATGATTCAACCTCCCAGATGACAGAATTGTCTGAGATGTAAGGGACTTCATCTAGGGACTAAAGGTCACCTATTGCAACTCCCCAGCAGTGAACAGGGGCACCCACAACCAGATGAGGTTGCTCAGAGCCCTGTCCAGCCTGACCTTGAATGTCTCCAGGGATGGGGTGTACACCACCTCTCCAGTCAACTAACTCTGGTGCCTCACCACCCTCACTATAAAAAGCTTCTTCCTTACATCCAACCTAAGTCTCCTCTTTTTTAGTCTGAAACCATTTCTCTTCTTCCTCTCACAACTCTCTTGTCCCAAATGCTTAAATCATAGGAGAAAAAATGAAGTGGTTTAACTATTAACTTTCTAGCAAAGCACTATAGCTGAATATCTACAAACTCAGGCCCTGTAGAGTAGGAGGAATTAGCAGGAAAAATATACCTACTTGAATCCTTACTCTGTGGGATGCTGAGTACCTCCCAACTCTCCAGCTTAACTGCTGCAAGAGCTAAGTACTCTCCCTAGCTCAAAAGGTTTCAAAAATCCAGAGAATTTAACAAGCAAGAAATGAAAACAGACCTACAGCTAACCAACTGAGTTAACACATCAGAAAGCAATTGTGACATCTATTATAAGCAGGTGGCTAACCTTGGATGTTTACTATCCCTGCCTATAGCAGGGGGTTGGATCTAGATGATCTTAAAGGTTCCTTCCAACCCAAACCATTCTGATTACTTGGTTGCTACAAGCCTACTCTGACTTCTTTGTAGGCAGCAAGCATTCTGTTAACAGGTATTAAAAGTTACTGACACCAACCTAACATCCACCATAGTATTGGTTCATAATAGACTTTATTCACACACCTGTTGAACATAGTATTCCAGCCCCATGAAATTCTCACATTTAATACACATTCAAGTTAATCTTGATTCCCTGATTTAGGAATATTCTTTGATTTACACTGGCTGGTTTATACCGAGATGGTGCCTCTTAATGGGCAAACAAGTACAAAATCTGCAGTCCTGACCTTATTAACAACGTAAAGACTCCATGCTTACCAAAAACACTACAGGTTTAAAAAGGCCTACTTGTTTAAGTAAACCAGGCAGCTTCCAGTACAGCAGTTTATTGTGGAAGATACTCCTTACCACATTAATTCTTCCTTCTCATATGCTATTTATTGCTTTATGCCTTGATCACATGGGCACATACTCAATTTCACAGCATTATTCCCAGTGACAT